AGTAGTTAACATAGGTGGACATTTTCATGTGTACCCAGTACATACAAACAAAATCATGGCATCTCAGGGGCCATGCCAATCTTTTCTCTATCGTTCCAATTTTAGCATATATACCGCTGAAGTGACTACACGAGTGAATAAGAGCCAGAGAATATCTTAGCCTATCCTGTCATTAACCCTAACCCTACCTAACCTAACCCTAACTCCAAAATAACCTTATCTTACCCTAATCTTAACCTAAAATTAACCTAACCTTAAATCTATCTAATCTAGCATAACTTAACTCCCTTCTTACACTAATCATACTTAATTCTTACCTTAAACAACCCTACCTAACCCTAATCCTGAACTTAACTCACCTAACCTAAACTGTTCCTTACCATAATCTAACCTTTCCTTTCTCTAATTCTAATGTAACTTAACTACTAACTAAACCCTGCCTGAACTAGCCTATTTCGTCCCTAATGCTTACCTTATCTGGCCAAACCTTAAACTAACTCTACCTAACCATAATGCTGACCTTTACTAACCTAAACTAACCAGTTCCTAACTTTTTCTAACCCCAATCCTAACCTAAACTAACCAATCCTAACATAACCTACATTATGACTGTAGTTTTCGACTCGTTTTCCTATCACATAAACGTTTAAATTATTAGTAATAGTTTCAAAGTGACTATTTCAATTTACAAAATGTAAAAAATAAAACATACCTTATCCAGAAACAAAATTTGTGAAGGCGGTATAATGTCTTTACAATAAATATTGCGATCATTCACTAGGAAATAAAAAACGTTGGTTAATATTTAGTTTCCCATTTGGACTATCTTCAAACACACTATTTTTTCAAGGGTAAAAAAGAACTTGTAATTAAATTTCATTTTATTTTTAATTACTTATAATAAAATTGGTCGGGACAGACGTTCTAATTGCACCATCCTTCTCCAAAAGCCGTGGTGAGCTATTCAATAATCCTTTACACTACCACAGTAAAGTAATTTGTTAAACATTTTAAGATAAATAATCCTATTTGTCACTTTGGAATGGTATCTACTTGACAAAATCTATATCGGGTTTGTCAAGTGAGAAGAACGACGAGGTGGAAAAGTCCTGTAGGCACTTTGTTAAAAACAATCTTTTACTCAAGAGTAAGGCTTGAATTTATCACTGATAAGTAATTTGCTCGTTACAAATCGGCAGACACATTGTCTGGCTCCTCCAGAGTTTGTCTATTTTTCCTTTTAATGTGTGTATACCCATTCTGAGATAAGAAAAAATACAAATCCTAGATACACCTCTTTCCTTATGTTTTAACAACATTGAAAACCAGAGGCTAGCTAGACTAGGTCGACAACAGAATCGGACATAGAGATCGGCGTGTTTCCTAGCTACTTAGCTTGGAGTTGTGGAGGACGTTTTCCTTCGCGAACGACTTTTGTTTTATCGAATAGCTGCTTACAGGTTTTTATCTTTGGTTGAAAATGGCAAGATTCCCAACAATTGCCTAGGTTGGTGAAAATTATAAATACCGAAAAATGCTCGAGTTATATATGATAGATATGAATCCTACGTAAACGTCAAGTTCTACCATCACGTCCATGAAAGAAGGCCTCAGCCCTGACAACAGAAGAACCTCTGTTCATGGCAATTCGTAAACACTTTCCAGAGTCAATAATAATACCCGGAGAGAAGCAGCCTGTTATTTCAGAGCGTCGGTGGTACAGGCTCAACAAAGAAGACTAGAAGGAGGCGGGTAACGTAGCCCAACCAGAGAAAATCGGGTGGTCGGTTAATGGATTTCTCCCGTATAAATCCCCCGGTTTGGATGGGATATACCTTACACTACTTCAGAATGGGCAGGAAGTATTGATGCCAGCTTTGGTGAGAATATTTAGGACTCCCTAGCCTGGAGATACATTCCACTGCATGGAGGATGGTGAAGCTGGTCTATTTACCAATAGTGGTAGGTTCATAGCCAAACACCTAGTTCATACAAACCTACCAGTCTCTCATCGTTTATGCAGAAAACACTAGAGAAACTGATGGATAACTATATTAGGGGCACAGCACTGAAAACAACACAGTGCTAGGCAATGTGCGTATCAGACAGGGAAGTCTACTGACTTGCCCCTGGATGACTTAAACAGGCTACTATCTAAGGCATTAAATGGCAAGGAAATATCCTTATGTTCATGGATGTGAAAGGGGTAAGGGTTAATGACAGGATAGGCTTCATATTCACTCGTGTAGTCACTTCAGCAGTATATATACTAAAATTGGAACGATAGAGAAATGATTGGCATGGCCCCTGCGCAAAGATGAGATGCCATGATTTTGTTTGTATGTATATTTATATATAAAAAAATAGGGATAAGTCAAGTTTAAACGTAACAAGTTTAAAGTCTACTGACTTGCCCCTCGATGACTTAAACAGGCTACTACCTAAGGCATTAAATGGCAAGGAAATACCCTTATTTCTTGGGCGTGAAAGGGGTATTTAACAATGCCACGACCAAATACCTATGGGATAAGTAAAAAAGCGATCTCTAAATCCATATGTCAATGGGTGGAAGAAAGTCTAAGGATGAGAATAATTTTATTTACTCTGGGCGATACTACAGTACGGGCGAGAACAATCAGAGGTTGCTCCCAAGGTGGCGTTCTGTCAGCATTACTGTGGTCAATATTGGTTGATGATCTCCTGAAAAGCTCTCTGACGAAGGCATTAATTGCCTAGGATATGTAGATGATCGGACGGTAGTCGTGAATGGACGCATTGCCGAAGTCATCACAAAGAGGGCGCCATACGCACTCAACATAACAAACATATGGTGTAAAAAATGCTTTCTATAAACCATAACAAAACCATCGTGGTTCCCTTTACCAAGAGAAGGGCACTAGGGGGACTTAAGCCTCTTATGCTAAATGAAGTTGAAATTCCTTTTTCTAAAGAGGCGAAATATCTGGGAGCCATCTTTGATCAGAGATTTATAAACTATAATTATGTAATAATTATAAACAAATTTATGCAAAGAGCAAAGATTGCCATGTTTATATGCAAACGCCTTTGTGGGAAAAAGCTGGGGATTGAATCCAAGATGTCCTACAGCTATACTCAGCGGTTGTTAGACCAATGATAGCCTACGGATCAGTGGCTTGGCGGACATGAAAAGCCATTTCCTAATCTAATAAGGGTGGAAATGGAGGGTTAAAAACGTGGCTCTTTATAACATTAAATTAGTGGGCAATGGCCACTTAGCCACTTCGTATATTTAATATTAGAAGGAATATGTTTTGTTACGTAAATTTAATGAAGTTGGCTCAGGTCCTTCAGTGCCTTTGCACATTATTACAGCTCATATGGAGCCCCTTCGGCCACTGAACCTGCATACCGAACCGCCAAGAACGTAGATCCATAAGACAATGGGGGAAGAATAAGTCGTTGGTTCAATGGAATTGTCTTCAGAATAGAGGCATGCGGAAAGGTTACTTTAAAAAACCGTCGTAGAACTTAACGGTAGAAGTACTAAATCATTGATGTGCAATATCAAGGATGTTCGTTTGAGTCGATCATTTTGAACAATTTTTTAATGAAGTGTTTCTGTTTATAGTGCATATTACTCGTCTTGATTCATACCACACGATCATTTCAGACCCTTAAGAATGGAATTCCTTCATCAGTACATTTTTATTTACATATTATCATTCACATTCCATACAGATATAAACAACGACAAACTACGACTAGTCTAACTGAGAGTCGATGAAATATTAAATAACGAATCATTGACCCTCTTGTACAACACATTCATGCTAATAAATACACTCAATCTCCGAATAGAAAAAAATCTAGAAAGAATAAAACCTGCAACAAGCATCATATAGTCCGCAGGGACAGGATGAGTAAGGTTACTCACATAACAAAGAGCAACTAAAGCTTCGAGGGGAGCTTTAGCTCGACAGAACTCTGGGGATGCTATGACTCCTAAATTCAATTTTGGCAAAAAATTTCTAATCAAAATAATTTGTATGGAAGACTGGGAGAAGAGATCCCAGTTAATGCCGACCACATCTGGTTTACATATGGCTCCAAAACCGAATATGAGCCAGGAGCTGGCATTTATGTAAATAAACCAAGGACTAGAATTCATATAAGCCCTTGACAATTTGCCACCGTCTTTCAACCGGAAACTGTTTCTATTAAACACTGTACCAGAGAGATAAAACAATGCTGGGGATTGTTATGTATTTCCATTTCTAGATTACTAATCCTGGGAGAGGCAAAGCCAGGGCGTGAAGGATACACGCGGGGGCCCTCGAAAAAGCTTTGGTCCTGATAAAAAACCTTTAGTTTAACGAGGAGGTCTAGATAAAACATTGGTATGCACAATAGACCAATACTAGTCGCGGTGCCCAGGTCGTAAAGAGGCCCGCTCCTATGTAATCTAATCTAATTTAAACTATTAATTATCTCTATTGTAAAGTAAATTGATTAAAAACTGATCATACAAAACAACTACAGGTTCAGTTCCTATACTTCAAAAAAAAAAAAGTTATATCCACTAATTTCGTGGTCCGCTTGACCAATTAATACATTACAATTAATTAAGGTTTTTAGTTGAGATGAAAAAAGTTAATGTCACGAGCGGGATTCGAACCCACGATGTTCGGCTAGATACGCCGAGTCGAGAATCCAATCCGATTACACGACATTTGAAAAATTGCAAAAAGGAGGGAAAACTCAAAAGGTGGGGTTGAGATAGGAAGTTGATGTCCGAGTGGATCGAGGTCACGATAGCTCAAGTGGTAGAGCAGCGGCGTATCTAGCCGAAGATCGTGGGTTCGAATCCCGCTCGTGCCATTAACTTTTTTTCATCTCAACTAAAAACCTTAATTAATTGTAATGTATTAATTGGTCAAGCGGACCACGAAATTAGTGAATTTAATGATTTAAAATGAAGTATACTTCACTAAAGCTCTCCGTGGCCATTTCATTTTTTGTTGAGTTTGATTGGTTGGTTGAGTTTGGTTGATAAGTGACAAACTAGATGAATGATCAAAACTGAAATCTAAAAGATACAAAAAGCACGGCGAAACCGTGGACCGAATCAACAAAAAAGTAGTGTTAACCCGGCGGAAGATTGGCCACACGCGATGAACCCATGGGGGTCCCCCCCTATTCTTATGGATAGCTACGAAAGATTCACATAAAACAGATAATGTCATTGTTTTTAACGGTTACAAGAATACCAAAACAAGTGCATTATGAAACCACCTCATATGTGGCTATTATTCAAATGATTGTATTTATTGGCGAGAATGGTTGAGCGTTAGGCTGGCTGAGACGAAATATTCAGTACACAGACCAAACAAATCTACGTTTGTTTTATGATCGGAATGGTTAAGGCACTGGCGTAATTTTAAAAACTTAGTGACTACCCCTTTTATGAATGTTTTTATTGGTATGAATGGTTTAGGGTTTTTTCTTTATTTCATCTTACTCCGCAGTAAGTGTTACAGGCAATAAGCGGTACATAATCTTACACCCTGCCATCCTCCCAACTGAAGTTTGTGAATAACTTTTATATTAGGTCTTCAGTTTTGTTTCAAGTATTCTGAGTCCCACCAATCTTCAAATAGGTTATTGTTTGTGGTAGGACGACTGTGTATAAATACGTAATATCGAATTAGAATCATATAACCAACCATGCGTGGAAGGATTAAATATTAGAGACAGCAAAGCCTTCAACATATTGTGTCTCATCTGGTGTAGCTGTTCTTCCTGAGTGCCATTCAGTGGATACTAGTAGTTGGGAAAAAGAAACGCAAGTGAGAAAAAAATATGAGAAACCACTCCTCCTCATCATGTGATTAATTAAATTTTATAATTGAATTTACCATAGACTGTTATCCATTCTCGTAAAACACGTCCTTTTGTTGTATGTCCTAGGATAACATAATACAAATTAACGAAGTTCAGTGAAACTAATATCAAGTCAAACTCATGAGAACTTTGATGCAATGTGATTATAGCAAATTTAAACTTTCTCTTCCACCTTTTGTGTTTAATTATCGTGAAACTTCCGCATTGAAATTCTATAAATCACGCGAGTAAACTATTAACTTCGGTCAACTTACTTGCTGTTAATCATTACTGATCAATGTTGTAATCCTCTTCAATGTAAACTACGAACGAGTCTAAATTACAATCGGCGTTTAATCAATTGACTCTTATTAATATTATTAATATTTTAAGCAAGTTTTGTAAAAAGCAGTGATAATAGTTGGTGAAGTTTTTTTAAACAAACGGAAAACCTGATGGATAGTTAAAACTTAGGCTACCTACTACGTTTAATAACTTTTTATTTCGATCATATCATGGGAATAATGATCATGCTCATACCATAAAACACCAAGGCTAAACGATAATGCGAATCCTATCCAACTAACCTCCTACATGCATGCATGAGACTGGTGCAAAAAGGGAGGACAGGTCTGAGGAAAATGACAATATATATATATATATATATATATATATATATATATATAATACAATATCTTAGGTGACAGGTTACAATTTACAAGGAATTTGGGTAATGGCCTTGGATAACAATTTGGATAACAAGATCGAACATCCGTCTCAGAATAGGACAGCATAAGCTAAAAAGGAGAAATGAACTCTACACCATAGTAGCCAGGCATAGTAAACTCATTAAAAGTACCCTTGCCAAAACTGGTAAAAACATACAGCTAAATAGGGTAAAAATCAAGAGGGAAAGGAAAGAAAACACTAACACATGGTGAGCATATTCTATGAAGACCTCAGAATAATAACACATATGATATTCTATGGTAAATCTGTTGGACTAAAAGTCAAAATATACAAGCTACTCAAAAATTATGCAGTGTGCAAAGATTGGCTAATTTATTTGTCACAGGGGCAATGGTCCCGACAACAAATCTACCTCTACTGGAAAAATATTATAAACAAGAAGCTAAAAAAAAAGCTCAAACAGACTCCAAATGCGACTAAATTGGTAAGGGAGACTTAACATTTTGGGTATTCAACATCAGACGAACGTTCTTGGAAATAGGGACTGGCTATAGGACTTCCTTTGGATCGTTCTTTAAAGTTTTAACAGACTACAAAGGAGAAAAGATCAGAAGAGAATCAAATACAATTTGTCAGCCACAAAAAAATTGAGCAATCAAAGTTATTAGGGAAACCTACTTCCGTCTTTCAAGCTGAAATACTGTCGATGGTTGTGCCATAGAAATCTTACAAGAGGTTACACGGAAAAAATCCCATAAGACCAGACAACCTCGCAGCCCTAAAAGCATTCGCACGTAAAAA